ATGCCTCCCACGTGCTGGGATTAAGGGCATGCACCTCAACCACAGAGCATAATATATAGCTTTGAAGTATATTTTACTTTGCTGAGCAAAAATAAAAGGATACACAAAAATGTACAAACACACTCAAAATAGATTCAAACAATTAAGAAAATCTAGTTTCTATGCTATTTGACAAAATACTACCATGAATCTAGGCAGTTCTAATTAGTAGACAAAAAAAAAAAAAATAAACACAAATTATTAATATAGGGGTATGCCTGAAGAAGACACCTATAGTCTTCCTTAATCAATATTCCCCCATATTCACTGAGACACTCAAAGGATAGTCTACCTATCAAGTTTGCTCATGAGATCTTGTTTCTAGTACCCATCTAACATCTGGAATGGCCCCCATCACTACCTGACATTCACATGGGCTCTAAGGACCCAAACTTAGGTCCTCTGGTTTGCTCAGCAGCAAGTGCTTGAACCACTGAGTGATCTCCCTAGCACTCTTAAAACTTTTTGAAAAACAATTTTGTCCATTATATTTACTTTCTGTTTTGTCTTGAAACAAGGTCCTGTTGTCCAGGCTGACTTAAAACTGCACCTAAGTGGTAAAGCTTTGGTTAGCATACATGAGGTTCTGGGTTGCAGTCACATTTTATGTTTGATGAAATTTTCTGATATGTAAGATTTCCTTATTGTAAGTTGGCTTCAATTTTGAAAAAATCCTAATTTGAACCTCAAGGATATGAATAATAATAACTCATTTAGTGTTTACTGTTGACTGCACTAAATTCCTTTAAATGCTCACTACTTCATTATGCAGAAACACTGAAACAATTACCAATTCAGAAGCTAAATATTTTTATGAGAAAGTAGAGTTTAATTCTGTGTGCATTAAAGGGCTCACAGTAAAGACTACATTTCTTTCCTCACATGTGATGAAGGTTTTGGAAAAGGAACAGTGTAATTTCTACTCCTCCTGTTCCCACCATGTCAGATTTGTTTGTTTGTTTGTTTGTTTTGAGATAGAGTCTCTTGATGTAGTAAAATTGAGGCTTTACGTAGTAAAATATGAGATCCACCTGCCTCTGCTTCATTAGTGCTGGGATTACTCATGTACAACAAGCTAAATGCTAGAACATGGGGCAAATTATTTCTTAAAAAAAATGGCAAACAAAGCAAAATACTTTAAAACAATATGTATGTATGGTTAAACATAATATATTTATAAAGATGAGTAACATTCCATCTGCTGCATGAGTTCAGCCACTCTAGAAGTTTTACTTGTCATTGTTCAAGTTACTGTACATGATAAACTCAAAAGAGATTTTACAGTTCCAGTCCTTTGAAATGTTGAATATACTAACCTACAAAAAAAATTTTTTAGTCTATTTAGAAAAAAAATAACTACTCAGCTTTTATTTAAAACAAAGAAGGGCTGAGGATATGGCTAAGCACATAAAGGTGCTACTTAGTCACCAAGTCTGACATTCTGAGTTTAATTTGTGGGACCTACATGATGGAAAACTCCCAAAAGTTACCATTGGGCCTCTACACACACACACACACACACACACACACACACACACACACACACACACACACACA